AGCTCCTGCTGCTTATGACAGGGTAGTAAAGAAAAGATAAGATTCAACAAAGGAATCACTAAACATTATGTTATCAATGGGAGGTACAGGACAACAAGAAGGAATTGTTGTTTTGGATTTAAGTTTTTCTGTTTTCCAGCAACTGCTTTGATCAACCACTCTGAAAACTCAGATTGCCTACAATATGAACATATTTACAGACAAGTATGTGTGTAGTTGTGATAGATTTCATGTTTTGGGGAATTTCATATAACGTCAGTGGTTTTAATGGCCAATACTTTAATCGTGCAATTTTAAATGTGATTTTATTACCCGTAAATAACAGAAAAAAGTTAGATAAAACATCAACATAGGATGTAAATGAGAACTCTTCACCCAGGCTCTTTTAAAAGGCTCCTTACTACTAATTTGTGTTATGTTAAAAGCACATGGAGAATCCTATTAACACTGCCTACTTTACAGTTCCTAGTGGCCAAAGCTCAGACCCAGAGAAGTGAGGAGCTAAAGATTCACTACCTGGGAAATGAGAAGAACTGAATTTGGCTAAAACCCCTGTTGTTCTTACAGACGATTCTGTCGGGAGCCTGCAAAAAGCCTGTGAACGATGTCCCAGTGTCAGCAACAACCAGTTTAGATCGTAGCATAACCTGAAGCAACTCATTTATATACCAGACCTTTTTGTCTGTCTGAGGCTAGTCAAAAATTGTTTTTGCAAAAAAACAAACAAAAACAGTGATCAAATTAAATCTGTAGACATCTACACTCCTCCCCCCCCCCACACACATCATCCATCATCAGGCCCCACTAAAAAGCTACTTAGAAACATAATTTCCAAACAGCTAGAACCATATTTTCTCACTTTACAAAGCTGAGTGAAAAATATTCAATAGATAATCACATATCCAAATATAAAACTGTTTTCCAATATCACACCAATAATATAGCATCAAATTACATTCTACACTTCTGAACATCAGGAAAAAAATAACAACAAAGCATAAAAAATCATATAGATTCAAAGAATTCACTAACTATAAAATGTTCCTGTAGAGAGGATAAACACTATAAGGTTTGCTTTAGAAAATAGTGAATTTATGCCATCTGTATCACATTTATATACTATTAAACAGCTTATGAAAAGAGAACCACAGAGGTTCATGTTGACATATTTCTCTGATGTTTAACCACCCCACTTTAAAAAATGACAAAAATGTGGCACAATAACAGCGCCGTGTTGAAACACCGCTGGAGTCTGGGGATACGGTGCAAAAACTTTAAGCTTTAAAAAATAAATACCTACTACCCATTTATCACAAATGTTCATTTCAGTAATTGAGTCATTCTCTGCCTTGAGTACTTTTAAATGAATACACACTCAATAGGGAATTCAGCCCATTCCTTATGCTTTTAATTATCTTTATGGTAACCTATCACCATTTTCACTTTATCAAAATGCAGCACAAAGTAGCCGCTCCAGTGCGCTCAGCTGAATTAAGGTTTTGATAAATCAGAGTTGTAAAAAGATTGCAACACAGGACAGGGCCTTAATTTATATGCAAATGAGCTGCCTCATCTAGAATAAGCAACATTTGTTTTTCTGCTCAGATCATCCACCTCAGTGTTCCTGTTAACGCACAAAATACGTACATTTACTTACGAGCTTGTAAAATGTCACTACAACTGAAGTCTGTAATTACATAATCCAGACTATATCAAGTGAGCATCAAGAATGTAAACATCACTTCTATAGGCAGTAGTGGAATCTAACCAAACACATTTACTCAAGTACACTACTTAAGTACAGTTTTGAGGTATCTGTATCTTTGTCATTCTCTGCTACTTCATACTTGACTTCGCTACATTTTAGAATCAAAATGTACTTTTTCCTCCACTACGTTTATTTCATAACTTTAGTCACTAGTTGATTTTCAGAACCAGATTAATACAAAGATACAGTGTAATTATAAGTACAGTTTAACTTACTTAATTGATCTATGGTGGAAAATTCACAAGCTAGTAATTCAAATTAAATGCTGATAAGCCAGTTAAGACTAGCTCCCCCTTTACCAGCTGCAACATTAAATGTGATGTACCGAATAATGCATCAGTAATTATAATACAATAATATGATATACAGGAATGTTAGATGTCCCATTCTGCATAATGAGTACTTTAAGTATATTTTGATGCTTTTGTTCTTTTACTTAACATTTTACTTGTAATAGAGTATTTTTACTGTTGTATTGTTTTTACTTAAGAGATATGAATACTTCTTCTACCACTGTCTATAGAAAACCTTCATCTTCTTATTGACATCGTTAACACTTCATCAGATTTAAAGCAGGGGTATTAATGGGGATTTTGTTTGTCTCTGTGGTCTCAAGCCCTAATCCAAATCTAACGATTTACGTATAAAGACTATAAATAGTGCACAGCTGAAAAAAAGCAAACAAAAAATGTTGTGCGCATCATGGTTTAATTCTCTTATATAAAAAAGGATGAAACTAAATATATTTCACAAACCATCCATACACAATATTATAAATTCTGCATTTTGCCCGATTTGTATCTAAAACAATAATGCCCTAAAGACACATAAAAATCTGCTTAAATTATTCCATACTTCCAAATAAATGCACAAACTTCTCTCTTATCAATATAACACAGCACCTAGCTTCTTATACTATCTCCATCTCCTTTGCACAGTGTAATCTACACTAAAATCTGTTGTGTTACTCTACTGGAAACAACCACACATTGACACTCACCTTGTCTTTACTCTGTTATACAAAACAACATTCAAATCAGCAGCTTTGGACAAACTTACAAAACCTCTATTGATTAGATGCTATCACTTCCCAGCCCTTGGGTTTCAGATTCATCCGATCCCTCACACCCCCCAGAATTTAATATTTAGGCTACTGATATGTAATTGTAAAGTTTTGTACAGTGACTTTAGTTTATCCTGAAAATGCAAGCTGTCACATAGTGCCTACAGAGTACATCTAACCCAATCAGCACATAAAGCAAAGGGGTCGGGCCACTTCTGCAGAGGGTAGGGCTGAGTACTCTCCCAAAACGATCAACATCAGCTCCTCTAGATACGTCTTTTAATACACTTTTCCTGGTTTGTTACTTCACAATTGCTATAAAAATTCTTCCTAAGTCTTAAATAATGGATTTTTATAAAAGTGCATGAGGCATTTACTCTTAGGCATGTGTATAGTTAAGATTTAATTAATCCTGATTATCGGTTTTTCCTGATCAGACAACAAAATTCAGAATGAACAAATATGGGGGGGGGGGGTTTCTCATTCTGAAGGAGCTGATTTCATTTCAGCACCTCTTTTGGAGTAATTAAGAATATGCATCTTGTGATTTACTAATTTCATTAACACTACTTAAAGGCAAGGAACAATTTGTGATAGCTACCAAACTCACAAAGGTGTGAATCATGACACATTATTTATAATAATTATGCGAGAGATTGTGAAGGCGGACTGACAAAACAAATTTCTTCCAACCTGCCCTGACAGCATAAACAGCTATTATGTCTATGTGGAGTTTACACAGTAAACGTGGTTCTCTTTTCTGTATCAAGTAAATAATTAAGCAGGGCAGTGGGAGAAGCTGCTCCATCTCACATAACATTTTATGATCTACCTCTGTTGGCCTTTAAGGGAGAAATGCCCTTTTTTCACTTGCCACCCTGCACAGGGAGGTTAAAGTTCAAGATAATTCTTCTGAAAAACTCCCTCATCACTGCATCACCAACCTGGCCACAGACACCCAAATCTTTATTCCAAAATTACATTATATATCAAAACTGCAACTTGTTTAAAGTGTAGTTCTGAAGGGGAACACGAAAGAACCTCATTATTTTAGCTCTAAACCAGGGTTTAAGTAACAAGCCACACAAGGGATAGTCTTAACTATTTAAACTTTCATTCCAAAGGTATAAAATAAATGACCATGCATCTTTGGCCCAGGTCAGCAGATGAGCATGCCAGGATTAAAAAAATTTTGAACGCAGGAATTATCAATTCAATCCTTTAGAGTGCATTTACAAAAATAAATTGGCCTACAGCATTTTGGGTAGACATCATCAGGAGATGATCTTCCTGGCATAAGCATACATAAGCATAAGATTTTACTCATCATCATCATAGCTAGATTATGAAGGGAAACTGCACTTTAACTGAGATTAGATCAATGTGAATGGCAGCTTTGTGTGATCATTAAAGCTAAAACATGGAGCACTGGTATCAGCTGATATCGCTGTTCATCAGCAAATGTCCTCTCTACAGGATTACTCAACTGCCACACATGAAAAATGTTACAAAGTCTCAGGTTCACTGGGCATAAAAATCCCAACAACTGTGGGGGTTAGACACAAGTGAACCTTTGATGATGGATTAAAATGAATCTTTCTGTGGTTCAATGAGTTCATACTGAGCTCACCTGCATCACTTTTCAAATATACATGAGGCTATGATTTTCTGCTAATTTAACTTATTCTGCAGCATGATAACAGGCCTGCTGCATTCTTACAATATGAATACTTTTTGTGTGTGATTTTAATGTGAAGTCACAGAACTGAGCCCTTAAAGAGAATAAGACAGCAGAAGATATAAGTGCTGATCCTGTCTTTCTCTGCAGAGGAACACGACTGTTGAGCCTCAACCCAGGAGGCTGATCACATGCAGCTAAAGTGCTGAAGCAAGCTCACCGTTACTCTCTCAGCATAAACACCGTCACTGACAGCAGCACGTAAACTAGCTTCTCCTCAATAACAGCTCAACAATAGCATGGGTTCATTTTTTGACAACAGGTGAGGGACCAGATTTGTAAAATTAGATGACTAGACATAGAGGTGATGATACACAGACAACACTTGGAGACAGGGGCCAATTATGCCTATAAATGTAACCAACAGTCCTCATGTCATGATTTTTTCTTGTAAAATGTTGACATCTGTACAGTTGTTTGTGATGTTGATGTGTTAACTTTTTTTTTTTTTTTTACATTTAGGACTCGATGTTTACACTGAGTTGCAGAGACGTACTGTAGCTTATTTAAGGACATCAGACAGGTTTGCAGTGCACTTCTTTAAAAAAACAGCAAGAAAGTAAACCACTTTATGGTACACAAATTGTCTCCTTCACTATCTCATATCAGTAGATCAGTCTGACTAAAAGTTTACATCAGAGGGTGAACAAGGAATAAAATGGGAAACTGTGGAACTACGAGAAAATAACATTACAAAAATAGGGAATCACACATTTTTTAAACAAACATCTCCCTTTCATTAAATAGAGATTTAGAGAAAATACAAAGAATAATGTAAACCTATCAACCCACCATGCTCCTTGTTGAATTGTCCACCAGTGATTACAGAAGGATAGAAAATAAAAATTTAAAGCATCATTTATGACTTAAGAAACTCCTCAGATATGCACCTTCTTTACATATGGATAATATTGCTTTAACACCAGAACATGTGGTATATTTATATAGAAAACCTCCAAAATAATGGAAACAATTTTACATTTTTTCTGTTTTTTTATGAAACCACATATTTACCCACAAGCTAGTCAGCTAGACCCTCCCCAACCCCTTTGGCACAATAATCATAGTCATATTAATTATTATTATTATAGTGCTGAATTACAAGACATTTGAATAGGAATGGTCACACACATTCAGAGTAGTAACACAGTTTCTGTAGTCGGAACACATATTGGTACTATATGTTATAACATAGTTCAAAAACACTTTTTTCCTTTTTTCACCTTTGTCACTCTGTAAATAAATTTATTTGAATCTTAAACAAAACAGAACTTTCTTTGCATGCCCTTATTATTTACAGAACCACTTTGAGTTTGTTTTTGCTGGCTAGTTTAGAAGAGAAATACTACACTTAAAATGAGAAATCCGACCATGGACTGCATCTGCATCAGTCAGATCTTAACAGCAAACAAATGCATATGCTGGAGCTCATGATGGACAGTCATACTACAGGCAACATACTGAAACACTGATTGCTGTTGTGATACAAACAGTCCACTTTAAATCAGACATCTCAATCCAGAGAGCATTTCTCATCCAAAGTATCTAAAACGGCTTGTGTTGTGCATTGTAATCTTGTTATGTAAGATTTCTCATCTTTTTTCTTTTTTGCTGAGTGTTTTGTGGAGGGAGCTGATACAAAGCCAAGGCCCAGTTTCTCCAAAGCACCTCAGTGATTTCACAGCACATTTTAAACCCCAGTACTACTCGAAGTACTCAGATTCTCAAAAGATATTTTTAACCCAAATGTTAAATTGTTGAATTGTGGAAAACCTGCAGTATTTTGCAAATTCAGATCTGTTTATTCATCTACACGGGCGTTTATGACTGGAATATTAAGATGTATAAAACTCTAGTCCAACATTTGACCTTTATGCTAATAGTAGATAGCAAGTCTCTCCATATAAACTGAAAACTGTGTCCCTCAAACATCTGTTATATACTAGTATGACCCAACACCTTTTAGAGAACCCAATCTCGCGCTCAGTGTCAGCTGGGATTGGTTTCAGCTGCCCTGCCACCCTGTACAGAACAAGTGCTACAGAGAATGTGAAGATGTCACGCTGTGCTAAATTTTGAATAAATGCACCATGTTTGGAGCATCATGCTCATTAACCAACATACAGTAGATATACTGTATACACTACATACATCAAGACATAATTTAAAAAAATAAATACTATTCCATACAGCTATACACAGCAGTGGATGATTCAACTACATCCAAATGTCCACTTTAGTGTTCAGTCGGAGCACAGACAGGACAGAAATGGATTCATCTGCAGTGTTTGCGTCATCTGCTGACAGCTGCTAGCTTGCATTAGTTCTCAAACTGAGAGCTCAGATCAGTCTGTCCGTTTGGTAGATGGGATCTTTAGCTCCACTTTGAGTTACAGTCAGCTAAGGTTACCACAGTCAGTAAAGTGGGATATAAACAATTTAAGCAGATTTTTTTTAGCCCCCCCCCAAAAGAATGTATGCATGTAAATACATTGCGTACCTCCAAAAATCCCCCGCCCCCACGTCCCAACATCCAACATGTTGTGACATACTTTCACATTCACTGTAGCTTATACATATCTGATTTGCTTTCTTGCTGAAAGTTAGAGAAGATGATCACCATTATCATGTCTGTCAATTCAATATGAAGCTAAACATTTAATGAATTAAAAAAAAGTATAAAAACAACACTTACAGTATGTCTTGCCATTGCCATGACATTAGAAGAGATTTCATTCACCTGACATACATGAGAATGGTATCACCATCTACTCTCAGCAGGGAAGCATACATTTTATTAGCTACAATGGACAGCCCTCATCCTCTACCAGGATGGTCTTGTGATGGACCAGTCTGAACTGCATTTAAAAAAGATTTAGCTAATTGTTTGTTGTTCTGCCCCTATGTGTGAAAAGAGTGGGAAACTTCAAAAGAGTCCTAGGCGATCCTAGTAGAGGCTACGAGCAGACTCTCTCCAATTTTATCAATCTCTGTCCACTAAAGAGACGATTGTTATTCCAATTCATGCCACCATTTTTGGTGAAACAGAGTGACACCTGAGTCCCGCTGACATGTTGTATAGAGAAAATGTCAGTACTGGTGTCCAGCTAAGCCTTACATAATGCTGCTAAATGTCACAAACTAATAATAAGCTTTGAGGTCAGACTTCTGCCAATAAGCCACCTGAACAAGATTCAGTGAGTAAGGTCATGTTCAGACTGAGTTTCAAGGGTGTGAAAAAACGCAGCCTTCTCCATTCATTTCTATGGGGGATTACGTTCACCACACCAGCACTGCAAGGGGCTCTGGCAAAATGACACACCCACGTGAGGCTAAAAAGTTGGTTCAACTTTTGCCTCACCAGAGGGTGACATCATCCAGCAAAGGCACTGCATTGACCAATCACGTACAGGGGATGGTTGGAACGTCGAAGCCCATGGTAAGAAGACTCGTTTACCTTTTTAGCATCAGCATTCACTTCTAGTCACTCTCAAATTTGGACCACAGTAAATGTATCATAGCCACTGGCCATGTGTTTTTGTTAGTTAGGGTACTGGATGTTAATGTTTTTCATCTATCAAAGCCGACACACTGGTTGTAGAAATTGGTGCTAACAAAGAGTAGGCTATGTTAGCAGCATGACTGACCAAAACACAACGGAAAACTGGCAGGCTGGTAAACGTGAATGAAGACACACACATACACAGTGTGGCCATATCATATACACTTACAACACTCCCCCTGCGACCCCTCATGCCCTGACCAACGCAGCCTCTTGCATAAAGACACAGCAGGGAGTTGTGTTTTACTGCACTCAGTCTGAACGCCCGCTAAGATGTTTATGGTAAAACAAGCCCTGGTGTTGCCAGTTCCCTCTTTCTTGAGTCACAGACAGAGAGGTACAAAGGTTTGGTCCCATCTGCTTTAGGAATCATGTACAAAATATACATTCAAACTACTGAGGAATAGAAATAGAACAGACAATACTGATATGAGAGCAGGATAAAATAAAGTAGCCTAGCAAGAGAAAGAGGAACTGAGCAAAAGAAAGCTGTGCAGAGGGAACAGATGGGAGAACTAAGAGAATAAAAACTTTTCTGAGAAAGTCCTTCAGAATAACATACTGTCTGGTATGTTAACACAATGCACTTTTGTCAGAAGCATGTTGGATTTTTATCACCCAAGAAAAATCCATAACCTCATATATTTACAGTGTTGTCCCCTTACATTGTATTTGTATATATGTATATGTATGCCCTTGATAGTCTCCATTTAGTCCTTAGAGTTAATGAGACAATGTGCCTCGTGTTGTCTCATACAGCAAAAACACACTCATGCTCACACACATACTATACACACACACACACACACACACACACACACACATTCACAATCTCTAATTAGTTGACAGCCGTGTTACCTTAAGGCCACTACCCAAACCTAAGTGATACGTAGCTCTAGACCTTCGAGAATGATTTCTGGCTTTACAGACACCAAAACACTGCAAAGTGGCCATTTCTGCAGATCTTCACACCACACTTGTGAGAAACAGCACTAACAAAATACAATGTGGGCAAGCCTCTTATACCTGCATCCCACTGTGAACATGTAAACACAAACACAGCTTGGTGTCTTCATCAACCAGCTCGCCACGTCTCCTCTACTTTAGGTTTCTATTTCCCACAGGGGCAAATGGATTTCCGTTAATCCATTCTCTTTCCTCGTTATGACCTGTGTTTTTGAGCGCACATCTTCACCTCTGTGTTCTCTGTACTTCTCTGCCTCACAGTGAGGATGAACTCTGACTGTAGTGTCTGAGTGTCAGTCTGCTGTACCTGGGTGAAGGGGGAGATGGGGGAGGATGGGAGGGGACTGGGGGGAGATACAAGCCTGTTTCTGAGACAGGTGACCCACTGCTGGATGCCAGAGAGTCACGGAAGGGCGACGGAGGAGTCAAAGCAATAAGCTCCTCATCCAACTCTGCTCTCCTCAGCGGGGAGTCGGGCAGGCAGGTGACCAAGCCTCCTCGCATGGGGGAGAGAGAGGGGGAGGTCTGGGGGTGAGGAGGTGGTAGCGGGTAGGGCGATTGAGGGATGGGGTGAGCAAGACAGCCCCCGCGGCCCCCCAAGCTGGGCTCAACAGGTGGGAGGGGCTGGACATCAGCATAGGTGGTGAGGGTCGGGGGCATCTGGAGTTCACGGGGTAACAGATACGGGTCGGTGGGGTGAGGAGAAGGGGGTCTGTGTTTGTGTGTGTGCGAGTGTGATGGAGAGGACGAGAGCATCATACTGTTAAGCTCAGTGATGTTGGCGGTGAAGCGGTTTACCACGCAGCTGATCTGATCCATCAGTGAACTCTGGGCCTCTCCCGGATGATCATCCACAACAACCAGGCGACCGTCACTCCCGGTGACAACAGAGCCGCTGCTGGCAGGACCACAACTGCTGCCGCTACCACCACTGCAAATGCTGCTTGAGTAATTTGGAATACTGGCCATCTGAGGATCCTCCCCTAAGCCTGCCCCTAGTCTCTGGCTGACTGTGCTGATCGGTGAAGGCGTCTGTGGCCGGTATGTGATCGAGTAGCGTTCCTCTGCTTCAGATAGCTCGTACAGGTTCTTATCAGTGCCAGTGTCAGGATGAGAGGGAAGGGAGGACATGGAAGGGAGGGAGGGCAGAGGCACATGTGGGGGCAGGTCCCCTCCCCCACAGTAACGTTCCTCAGAGGTTTTGGAGAAAGGTTTGATAACTGCAGTCTGATTATTCTCCTTCTTCTTGATGTGGAACGACAGCCGCTGCCACAGGTGGTTGCCACGTGAACTGCTGCGTTCAGTCTGCGCCCAAGATACAGATTTCCCATTGGAGCTGTGGGACAACAAAGAGGTGGAAAGATAGAGAGGAAAGAAAGAGGGAATTGTTTTTATTGCTTGGACATATATAGATGTACCACATTCACTTAATCAGTAGGTTTTTACGTTTTTGTCAGTTTGATGTCGAAAAACTAATTAAATTTTAATCAATGGATTTGTCTGCATTCCTAATTATGTATCCCATTACTCAAGTAAGTGTTTTTGCAACTAGGAATTTTGTAGTTTGTCAGTTATGAGCCACAAGAATTCATTGCAACAAAACCACACATGATAAAACATCACATAACTGTGTCTGCTCTATATTAGTTCCAATTTATTATCCTGGGTAAATATATGTCATTTAACAGATACAAACAAAATGGAGCCTTGACTCCACAGAAAATTGATTGGACTTCATATACTGTTTAATTTCATTACAATGAATTTTCTATTTTCCTCCCAGATTGTCCTCCATTTTTATTCAAGAGGTCCCCTCGTCCTCTCTCCATTTCACATCCTATCTTGTAATTTTATCCACTTTTGTCTGCTTCACTTCAGTCACGGCACTCTGACCCCTCCCCCCTTGCCCTTTTCTTCCTCCCGTCCTTTTGTCAGGTTAATTAGTGTGATTAATCTATAGTGGAACTTCTGATTAAACCTCACACAGCCATGGCTGGCTGCAAAAAGAACTCAAATTACCCTGGAAACAGACACACCCACCCACACATACACAGACTCCATGATACAGTACTCACACCCACAAAAATTCATATGCTGCGCACACCGGCCCGCGCCTACACAGACACACCGCACTTGTTTAATCCGACAAGAAAAGTCCAACCAACATTAGCAGAGATGCATGTTGCACATGCAAAAGAAGTGCTTGATTGATCTTACATGTTTTGTATCCAGCTCTGAGGTTGATTTTAATGCCTGGGGAAGGTAAACCAAGATCTTTTTGAACATTTTGTTCAAACATCAGTTAAAGATTCCTCTTTTTTAAAGATGTCTGCCAGTTTCATGTCTGTGTGTGTCTGTTCAGACTACAGAATAATAAAATCTCACAGGTGACAGCTTCCAGCCCTGCACTGACGAAATAGACAGCCCTGCCAATTACCACCACCCACAGGGTAAGACAGGTCCACAAGAGACGGAGAAGGGAAGAGGGGAATAAAAGGACCTGACATTTCTCATAAGTGTGTGATTGAAATCTTGCTTGCCAAGCGGGATGAGTTGTAGAAACGTGCTGACAAACGAATATGTGCTCATCTCTTTTCTCCCTTTTCTGTCTGGGCAAGTGGCTGTGCGTCACTCCCTTTGTGTTCTTTGATCGGTTCCTTGTCACCATAGAAGACTTGTGGATGGCCATAAGCCGAGTGTGAAAGCTGTTCTGGCTCTCCTCACACTATTCTTTTAGCCTTTTCTTTTCTTTCTTTTCCATCGCTTCTGCTCACATCCATCTCTCTCTACTTAGATTTCTTGTTCCTGTTCTCTCTTTACCCTCCCTTCCTCGCTTTAGTCCTCTCTCTCCTTTGCTACGTGTCCATTAGGCAAATGTCTGCAGTTCATGTTAGGGTCAGAGAAACAGTCAGGAAGTCCCAGGAGAGCTTAGGGAGTCAAACACACACACAAGCACCATAAATAGTCTGAGAGCAGGGCCATTATAAAAATGGTGCATTGGGCTGTAACTGATGAGTAACCTGACATTAACCTGGTCAACAAGCCTCTAGCATGTGTACACACACACACACGTACCTGAGTGTCTCTCCAGTAGAGCCTCTGCGTTTCCACAGGTTAACCAGACTAGATGAGCGGCTGGCAGCCGAGGATGATTTGCCATCACCCACGTGCATGCGCACCACTGTGCTAGTGGTAAAGGCACTGCGCACGTTACGCTCCGGTTTGGCTAAAATTATGTACACCTGATTTAAATAAAACACAAAATATGTTATTTGAACATAGATTTTTAACCATTAGAGTAGTGATGAAGGTTTTTATGTCTCACCTTTTTAATGTGAAACAATTCTGAAAATAAGCAGCGAATGACTGTTTTGACTGACTGCTTTTTTACTGTTGTTCAAGCACAAACCTTCTCCTTGAAGCTCCACAGGATTATCTGACTATTACTGTACAAGTGGGAGAAACCATGATGTGTGAGAATATTTGAAACTTTTTTTTTATTTCAGTTTCGTTTCTAATCTTTTCATTCAAAAATGAAACTTTAACATTAGGTTTCCTTTACATGGTTTTTACTGGGGGTTCTGCCTCAGCATTACCACCCTAACAATAAGGTTACTGTCAGTATGGTGACAAACAATAGCCTAAATATTTAAGGTACTTTATCATTCCATTTAAGGACAATAGTCCTGTTCTGTGTGCAAAGCATGACTACAACATTATTTGATGTGATACCTCATAAGTTTTATTCTTTGCTCAAAACAAACTCATTTCAATTCTGATGCCTGCAACACATTCCAAAAAAATGGGATAGCTGCATGCAAGTGGCATCCAGGAAAGGCTGAGCCCTTTAGGAGCAAAGATGAGCCGAAGACCATCGGTTTGCCAACATATGGCTGAGAAAATTATTGAAATGTTTTAAATTAATGCTCCTCAAAGAAAGATTGGAAGGGATTTAGATATGTCACCTTCTACTGTACATTCATCCATCCATCCATTATCTATACTGCTGGAGCCCATTCCAGCTGACAATGGGCAAGAAGCAGGGTACACCCTGGACAGACCATCGGTTTGCCAACATATGGCTGAGAAAATTATTGAAATGTTTTAAATTAATGCTCCTCAAAGAAAGATGGGAAGGGATTTAGATATGTCACCTTCTACTGTACATTCATCCATCCATCCATTATCTATACTGCTGGAGCCCATTCCAGCTGACAATGGGCAAGAAGCAGGGTACACCCTGGACAGCTCTGTCATGGTCTGGGGTTGTGTTGGTGCCCTTGGCACTTACATTTCTGTGAGGCACCATTAATGCTGAAAAATACTCAGATTTTGGAGCAATATATGCAGCCTTCAAGACGACATCTTTTCCAGGGACACCCATGCATATTTCAACAAGACAATGCAAAACCTCATACTGCACACATTACTGAGGCTGGACTGGCCTCTGCCTGCAGTCCTGACCTGTCCCCAGTAGAGAATGTGTGGCACATTTTGAAATACAAATTGTGTCAACAAAGACCCAGGACTGTTGTGCACCTTAAGACTTGTTTGTGGGAAGAATGGGACAAAATGACACCTGACACATTTAATAATCACTTGATGTCCTCAGTCCCTAAATGTCTTTTATGTGTTGTGAAAAGGAACGGCAACATCACAACATGGTAAATACTTTACTGCCCCAGCATTGTTTTTTTTTGTATGTGTTGCAAACATTAGGATTAAAGTGAGTGTTTATTTTGAACAGGGAATAAAATTGAGGTATCACATCAAATAATGTGCTGCTGTATTGTTTTCGATGTAATACAGGACACAGATGATTTACATATCACTATTTTCAGATTTAATTTTCATTTTAAATACTGTCCCGACTTTCTGATTTGGGGTTGTAATATACACTATTTGTGAACACCTGACAAGTAATCAGTTGTTTTCAGAGGCTTAACAGAAAAATTTAAGGAGATTGAGAAGTGAAAGGAAATATGTAGAAGTAGAAGCTGTGGAGTTTAGCTTCATCCTTACCTTAGGTACAAACATGCAGCACAGAGCCACAGTGGCGCTGAGGCTGACACTGAAGCACATGGTGATAATTTTGTAGTTGGAACCAAAGTAGATGGGTACAAAGGCCAGCCATATGATGCAGGTGGTGTACATGGTGAAGGCAATGTACTTAGCTTCGTTGAAATTAGCTGGGACGTTCCGAGTCTTAAAAAGAGAGAGAGAGAGACAGAGAAAGACAAGTGTCTACAAATATCCAAGCATTTGTTTACTGTTGTTGAATCATTCTGTATATTTACTGTTATTCACTGTTAGCTTTTGATTACAGGTCTTCACAGAACCAGAATAGTCACTTCAATAAACTGCTAATTCACAGTAATGTTGATGCTAACCTCACCATTATGTGAGTTAGGTGAAACATGGGGTTACAACACTACATTACCAGAGGAATATTTGTATTCAAGGTAATCTATTGGCCTGAAGTGCAATGTATTTAAGATTTTGACTCTTTTTACCATTTCGCTCTCATACTCTACAGTAAATGGATGGCTGCAGGCCACCGATAATCAAACACTGACTTCATAACAATAATTTACAGCTGTTGTACTGTTGAAATTTGTAGAGTAGCAAACACAAGTGATTTAATGATTGGTTTCTACATTTTGTTTGGGAAAGCATTCTCACGTGGAGCAGCTGTTGCAGTAAGTTGAACATACTAGCAATAGTATGTGTGCATTTCTGTATATTCCTACAAAAAAAAAAAAACAACGGTGTTGTTGGAGCTTTGGATTTAAGGCACCTGCTAATTGTCAAGTCATAATGTATTTGTTATTCTGTGAAGCTGTGACTTCAATTTTGATACTGTCATTTAAATCTAATTCAAAATTCTAATGTACAATAGCTACAAATACTATAGCTGGTACCTTGAAGGCATAGAATGTGCAGCTGAGGATGAGCAGGCCATTGTATCCCAGTGGGGCAACAACGCCCAGGTTAGTGGTGTTGCAAATAAGGTTAACCTGGCGGATGCTGGGGTAGTCATGGATCACCTGTACAGACACAGGAGGAAACATGCCTATTATACATAACTTGACAAGGCCACTGCTACAGGCATCCTACTGTTGCCTCTTCAGAAAAGCTGCCAAATATGTGACAAGAGAAGCATTTTAAAAAGAGACTGAGGAAGCAGTACAAATGAACAAACTGACAATTTCATCCATTACACTGCTAACTTCAGATGCCCAGTATTTTAGATCTGCTGGCAAAGGACTGCATGCTAACACAGCATTAAAGCAGGATCTGTCAACGAGGCACTCTCACACTTACTGTACAATGAAAAGCAGACACAGACACACACCTACTCACACAGAACTTACATCAGGTGGCTCCATGAGGAAGAGAGCAACGATGATGCCCAGCTGCAGCAGTATGAGGAGGAAGGCAATGATGAGCTGAGCACAGGCAGACATGAAGCGAGGTTTCTTTGTACAGATCTTCTTCTTGCTGCCTGCCAGGATCCGAGCGATGCGATTTGTCTGAGGTCAGATTACAAATGCCGTCAGAACATTTTAATAAACTACCATATATACAGAACATACTCTGTGTTCTGGACATCTGCTCTCTCTGCTGGTGCCACTGTCCTTATGCAGTGGGAAAGACAATTTAAAAATACTGCACACAGGAGTCAAATTCTATTGCTACAAGCTCAAGGTAATTACTTACGGGGAAAGGCTGCATTATTGAATCCCGGGTCCCTTTAGGACCATAGCTCTGCTTTCACCCAGACACATTGCTGATGCTCCAGCATCTGCTCCAGTTTATCTGGAGCTACCCCCCACAGACCACTGACGGCCAGGGCAGGTTAGCATACATGTAGATCTAATGATAAGGGTATTCCAAATCTTTGGAGATAACCCCTTTAGCCTTACACCTCTCACTACTGCTTCACACCCTACATCTTATACTTTAAAAAAAAAAAATGCTTACCTTGGTGACAAGCGCGGAGTAGCTCATGGCAGGCGACAGGCCTATTCCCAATCGTTGGAGGTAGCAGTGGATAACAAGGGGTTTGGCTATGAGGCTAAAGGTACACAGGTAACCCAGGCAGATCCCTGCAAGTATGATGTAGCACAGCTCCCTACTAGAAGATTTCACTACTGGGGTGTCCCGGAACCTGGATACAGACACATTCAGATAATTATGTGCAGAATCACAGAACATATAAATGGAGACATATACACAAGAACGCAAACACACACTCATGAAACTGTGATTATAGTGGGCATTTATAGTGCATATCTATGTCTGTGCATTGTTCTCCTCTATTCATACAGTATATTTTCTGAGATGGATAAGAGGTCTTTTACCTGATGAAGACTGCAGTGACAAAGAATGTGGCCATTAGACCGAGACAGGCAAAGACCACAGCAGCAATGGGTTCAGGGTCTCCCCATCGCAGATACTCCACTGGGATTGGGTCACAGCCTGGAGATATGGAGATGCATTTCTTCAAACAAAATGAATCAAGGACAGCAACTGGATAATGTAGAATCAGCTTTTGGTAAGATTTTCAGACCTTTGTCAACACCGACTCTACTGTATGTTTATCTGTGTTCTCTTCACTTTCCCTCTCTTTCAGTTTTTGTTTCTCTTACACTCTTTTATTGTACATCAAGCTCTGGTCCACATGTGGCACAGAGGGAGCATCAGTATATAACACTTGTCTCAATGTCCAGGGTCAGGTTAGGAGCCACAGGTTGGATTTGCAGGTGGAAAAGTCTGAGTGATTACTGTAACTAGCTGACCAGCACTGTTTGCAGCCAAAGTCTGCAGCTTTGTGCATATTTGTGCACATGCACGTGTAAACATGCAGTACAACTGAATGATGATTTAATGACTTTCGCATTGTCTCTCACTCACATGTCGTTCTCCTGTTATTTATTTTTGTCCCTGCAGTACACACTTCTTTGTTGTCCACTGGCTTTCCACTCCCTGCATCTGTGTCATCCCTTCTTCTTCACTCCTCATCATTCAATCTTGGTCTCTGTTTTCTATCACTCTTTCTTTGCAGTACTCATCCATCATTCTGTCCCTCTTTTTCCTGTAATACTGCCCCTATCTTTTTCTGTCTTCACCCCTCCCACCTTCCTCCCTAATTCTCCTCTTCCTGTCTTCCTTCCATCTTTGTCCTCCTCATAGGCAAGGAAATAAAGTGCCATTAATTAAAGGGACAGCTCAAATTATAATCAGTCTTAATGCTTGCTGAAATTATCCAGGTCTAGACATCTAGACACACTGGAGCAGCAGGGAAAGGACATGAATACACTTTTTAAAACTGCATCCATGTATCTTTACTTTCTTGCTTTTTTGTATTCATTTCACTTTCTCCATTCTCTTTCTCTTCCAATCTTTCTTGCTTTTAGTTTCTCTTTCACAGACAACACACACACACCTGTTCATACAGTGCTGCAAACTGCAGAGAGCGAAGTCATTAAAAAGGACTTAAGTAATTTAATGACTTTGTCTTTAACACAGCTAATAAAGTTGATTAAATCAGGGATATGGTTCGGTCTAGGGGCATCACCAATAGTCTAATTGCTGAGTGGGGGCCTCAGGGACGGTGGCAAACAGGAAATAAGTCGGGTGGATTTCTTCTGCAAAGGATGTGACTCACTTGCAAGTTTATATCACTGGAAAGCTCAAACTGCCATTTCAGTAAAAAAATATGCAAAACACTGTTGGAGCTGAGCATCAGGTAAAACTGAATAATCAAACAAGAGCTACAGAACTGTTCAGCCTCGCCACAAGAGGTGCAGACCACCCACTCGTGAAAATATAAGGTGGGAAGAAACTAAGAAACTTGCTGAGAATTAGGCTCCAATTAATCCTGCCCATTTAAATCTAGATGTCGGTGCTGAAAAGATCAGCGCTTTTCTCCTGGGTTTGTCTAAAAGCACTGGCTACGTCTGCAATTTAATATTTAATTAGTTCCTGGCACCTGCAGAAAACTGTGCAGTGTTTCACCCTAAGCCAAACTGCTGCATTAATTGTGGGGGCATTTGGAGGGTTCAGTCAATACAAAGTTCTGAGGCAAACTCCTTCAAACATTCTCAGACTCGGACTGTGGAGCTTTACCGATCAATGGAGAGGCTCAAATCCCAAAGCTAATCCTCCATTTTTACTGCTCCTTTCACTCTCCTTGGCTGCTGCTTCTGTCAGAGCCTCTATTCATCCCCGTCTCTCTCCCTCAATTTTTCTTTCTCTTTATGTTTCTAAGTCACATTTCTCTCACTCTCGTTTTCTCATTTTTACTCGAATGTTGTGCCCCAAACCCTCCTATTACTTTCTATGGGTTTCACACTCACTTTACCTCTGTCCCTGCCAGCTGAGACCTCGCTCTGTGTATCTCCTCTATTCTCTCTGCCTCTCTATCGCTTCATCTCCTATGCTTTCTGTCCTTTCTTTTGGCCTGAGGGAAAGACAGATCAAAATCTCTGCTGGAGGAACAGGACAAGCAGTTTGTTTACACCTCATTATTACTGCTCCATATAGCCCCACTGGGGCACAAACAGCACTTACTGTTGATGAAATGAGTCACATACACGTACTCTCACAAATGAACATTCAAGACATGCAACAAATTAATCCTTTATCTCTCTCTTTTTTTCACCAGCAACTTCCTCTGGCCTTTCCCCCCCCCCGGTTTGCCCTCAGTTTTAGTTTAAGGGTTCTTTTTTCTCTGGCAGAGAGGTTCAATTTGAATTTTCAGCAGGGCTTTATTCATGTTTTAATCATTGAGCATGGTGAGAGGTAGCAAGCAGCATAATGAGCAGCTGAAAGAATAACAAGCTAATATCCAACCACTCTGAACGCAATGGAGGGGAAATACATTGTTATTGCAACTGAAATATATTTGCATTGAAGGCTGCTCTTGATGCAGAATAATTAATACACGGTGACCCTGTTGGTAACAAATTAGAGGGATGAGAGGGTGACAGTGTAGGAGAGGCTGAAACAGAGGGATCATCTCTCATTTTCTCTCTAATCTCATTAGTGCAGGACTTAATGTATAATATTATAGTGTATCAGGGAAATACACCTATCTCATTCTGCTAAAAAGCCATATATGCACACAGACACTGTATAGTACAGTTTTATTACAGGATTTTTATACAGGAGCATGGCCAAATACTTTAGTTTCTTCTTTGCAGTGTTTCAATTATTTTGAAACTGGAAGCCTTTCTGACATTGCGCTTCAAAGTTTTAAAACAACATGCAAGCACATACACACAAACATACAGAGACTGACCTGTGAGGTCATCGGTAGGCCAGGAGCCCAGTTCACAGGCTCGGCAGGTGTACTCGTCAAACACAAACTCGTTTTCTTTACAGGGAGTGCACGTCCAGCAGCAGCTCACCTCACCTTTACGGATCACCTGGAAGGGCCAGCGTGCACATTGTCTGTTTGTCTGTACCTTTGTGCACATGCTTGCAGTGAGATGGCATCAGAGGTTCAGTTAATCAAATATTTTCTTTAATAATGACAGAAAAATGTGAAGGCTGTCCATCATTTTGACAGATCAGAACACAGAGGGTTATTTATACTGACTTAAAGTTAGGCAACTAAATAGGCCAATAATTGCCATGTTCTTGATAAACAAGGTGAAAGTAAGAGAAACTGATGTGGTGGATGAAGGGCAACTAAGACAGTATACTATCTGGGAGCTGACGAGCTGCAGACTGGAGGCCACAGACCACATCTGTGACCACTACAATCAGACAAGGGCGCAGCGGGACCTCTGGATGCCATGTAAATTATGTCTACATGCTAGCTCACGTGCACCAGCCACTGCATTTATGTGGAGTTTCACTGTTATTTGGCTTACAGTAAGAATGTAGATGCCCCATGAAACCCTCAAATTCAGAATGTAACTGGCCTATAAGAAATTCTGATTAATAACAAAGCTGTAGTGAACATGATGTATAATCTTATGTAGATTTGCAAATTCACGGTAAACACTCACTGTGAAACAGATCAATACTTGAAAATGATTATTGTAACCAAACCTTAATCATCTTACCTTAATCTGTCCTTTGTCACAGGGTTCACTGCAGACTGACTTGATGGTGGTATCTTTGTTGGGCCAGATTTCATCATCGTCCATCTTCAAGCCGCTATTGTCCCAGCTGCCAACAGTAATGTAGTCATAGTAGTCCTTTCCTATCTTTTTGAAGTTCATTATCTCATACCTTTAAATAAAAGGCACACATGAAAACACATAAACACACATTCAGCACAGGGCCATATCATAAATACTTGTGATTGCCTCTTGTCTGTCACCTCTGTGACCCCAAAAGGCCACACACACACACAAAGTCAATGACACCTCTGTTCAGATAGAGTGCCTACCTTCCAGGTGAGTCCCCATTCTCATCGAATAAGATTCCCTCCCCAGACACTCCTGTGAAGTTGGTTTTCATCAGAAAGTCCAACAGTGTAGCACCATCGATTGGTCGCATGGCATCACACAGGCCCTTCAAATACATGGGGAGTCATGTCATATATAATAAAAGTGCCCAGACTAATGTGTCTCAATTTATACATAGTTATCAGTTATTGTTTTTTCGGTACACACAACCATAGAGGTTCCCATCTTATGGCTTCCCAGGGTAAAATATCTAGCGTGACAATAACTCAACAATGGGCCTCAAGGAAACAAGCTTGACTGTAATATGGCAACGATACCCTGCTGATGTCCTCCTTTTGTCCTATCATTCCTACTCTCCACCCTTTTATCTCTCTCCTTCATCTGCCTGGTTTGTCCTAGAGTCCCTCCATTCATCCGTCAGAGCAGCACCCACCTGATAGCCTGGGCAGAGTGCCCGTTGCATGTTATGCAGGCCATATGCCATGGAGTAGATGGCATTGATGACAAACCCCATCTTAGTGTCCTGTGCGTACTGCTGCCGAAGTGATTCTCGCTCTGCGTAGGAGAGAAGAGAGAAAGGCAGGTAAATCAGAGAAACTCTTAACGTATATATTTCTCTTCCAGTTTTACGAAGAGTGTGCTTTTTTCTAACATCAAAGACTGCTCTCATTTCTTCTCATCGGCCACTTCCCACCTCCACATCTCATTCCTTTGTCTGTCTTTTTTGTCCAGTTCATTTGTATTTCATGTGCCATTTCATTAGAATACATGACATGTGACTCCTTTTGATGCAGCTCTCACACAGTTTTCCCTATGAATGGAGCTATAACAGAAAGAGAACGAAGGGGAGGTGAATAGAAAGAATCCTTATGGTGCTGTATGTGTGTATTGTAGGTGTGTATTCAGCCAGTCTGTTTGTATGTTTAGTGAGTGTACAGTATGTTATTTGCATTAATACAGGCAATTATGAAAGCCTGTCAATAAAAATGCAGATTGGTATTGTAGCCTTTTATGTTAGCCCAAAACAATGTAGCATTTGTCTTCCTCTCTACCCCAGATGGTCACGGTCAAAAGAATAGTACAGTACAGCTGTAACTCAGAGGCTCTATGTTATTTACTGTATGCCAATACTCACTGCTGCAGGTATTCAAGAAGTAAATGTCAGGTCTTATCCCAAGGACTTCACAATCAACAACAATTATTGTACCTAATGTAGCTAATAATCACTCTGTTGTCCTTATATGTTTACTTATGTCTATACTCACTGCTACAGGTACGGTTGTACTTGTTATTCTCTTGTGCGTGGCCTTTAAGACGACAGTGAAAACGATGCTGCCAGAACTCTGGGAACCAGGGATTCCTGTGGTTGTTTTCAGGACGAAGTTTAAGGTAGTATTCGTCAAACCATTTCACATCGGCTGACTGCAGCTTGATGGTAATACCACCAGCCGCTTCCTTAACATAGCCATCTGTCACGTCATACCGGTCCGCCCATCCATCGCTGCAAAGAAAAACAAGGAAAGACAGGTAGAAAAGTGTAGTACGAACCCCATCAATCTGTGAGAATGGCAATACCGAATCCACTATTGTACTATCATAATAAAATTTACATTATTTCTTCTGGGGTCATTTGATCGTTCCCACAACATTTATGCTGATTATGCTGCACATGCTGTTTGGAGAGCTAACTGGACATTCTATGCCGTTCAGATGTCAATAATTTGGGAAAGGACCGAGTTAGAAGTGACATTTTCTATGTGTTGTTTGGCCCAGTGTGGTGTTGAATCAGTGATCATCTGGCTCAAGGTCACAGTCACAGTCATTTGTCTTATTGACCGGTTGCAGAACATCAGGATGACAGGTGTTATCACCAAATATTAAATATGATAATAGGAGGCTGTCAGAGGACACATGCCAGAGAAGAGAAATAGAAAGGAATAGGACAGAATTCCAATAAAGCTGGCACACTGCAGGCATAGTGAGGAACACCTTTGTTGGGACTGTGATGGACAATAAATCATAACCTCTCATCAAACAGTTGGCAACAGACCTCAGGCTCACTGTGCTGGCTCCCACCTGCACCTCAAGTAAAGCAACACCAGGGTTTAGGAAACGCACATCCTTTCTCTGTTGTCTGCAGCCATAGGCACAGTTAGATATGTATTTTTTTGGCTGATTCCACTTTCTGACCTGCTGATTCCGATTTTCTTTCTAAGAACTGTAATTGACAGCATAAATGGACATTTTGTAATTTTTCTTTAATGACAAATTTAAGTGCATTTAAAATAAAACGGATTTTTAAGTTTTACATTTTCCACCTTTCTCTCCTTAGTTTTCAACTAAAAATGAAGTGCAAAATGTGTACATCTCCAAATATAAACGTGCAACAGGTAAAAGAAGAATGTCTGTACTACTGAGCACACAGTTCCTTGTGAAGTGTGTGTAGTTTGTATTTGCTGTGTTTTACCACAGGTTGGATACACTGTACAGATACATGTATTTCATGTGCAGCCAGTAATTCCCTCATTGTGTACTATTTGCCAGAGAATTGGACGCAACTTCCCCTTCTCCAAGGTGTTTCTGTAGGCTCCTTTGTGTGCTGTTTGTACACCAACTGCTTCCACTGCAAGTGCTAATTTATTCCTGCAGACATTACCATGATGCTCAGACAATGTTGACAGTGGTCAAGTATTACATCTCATCTGGTCTCCATTAAGGATGATAAAACCTCTGCCATCTTAAAGTAAAGGAAGCCTCTCAGAGGTATGGTGTCTGGTTTATGGTAAGAGTTTAATTAGCCATGTGGAGCTATGGACCTTTTATAGGGCTAGCCCCTAGAGGTGGTCAAACTAATCAGCCTGATTAGCTGAGAATGTAGAGAACATGCAAATTATAATGTGCAGAGATGCAAAGATGAATGAGGCATTCTCTAGAGTCCAACTATGTACTCTTCAGAGAGCTGGATTTAGAATACACAACTACTGTGTGTGTGTGTGCTCAGTGAACAGATGACATGCCTGTTATTGGGTGATATTAAATGTTTGGTTTGAGAAGTGAAGCACAGGGGCACTAATATGTCACTGTAACAAATAAACCATATTTCACATACACACATAGCTGTATCACAGAGGCACACACACACTGGTGAGTGCTCCAGTTTCTTTGCAGGAAGTGACAAAAAAAAAGAAACAGAAAGATGAGAGATGTGAAAGGACAGACAGAGGCAGTGAAGCAGAAGCAGCGAATCAGAGAAACACAGTGAAAGGAGGCGCTAACAGAATGATTAGCAGTCAGAGGAAATGTGGGAGGAAGCTCTTACATCATTATGGGCAATGTCCAAAATTCACTATATCGCTGACAAATAGGCATAAACACTATTCACACATACACACCAGCTGGGTGCTGAGATGATCTAGGTCAAATAGAGTATTTTGGCTGCAGTTCAGCAGCTATGCCCCATCAGACACCAGCAAGACAAATATACCCGCCTCACAATACATACACATGAACTATAAAGACATATCACTATAGTTTGCATTTTTTTGGAGAAGATTTGGGTTTATTGCTCCTCATGGAAGCACAGATGGCACAGTGAGTGTTTGTGTGTGTCTGAGAGAGATAAAGAAAGGAAGGGGAAGAGGGAGACGTGGATGGGAATGACAAATCTTCTCTCCTCCTTTCACAACTACCACCAACATGGCCTCAAGCAAGACAATGATCGTCAGTTATACCAGTGGAATTTTTCATTTGTTTCTCTCTCTGCTTCTCCGTCTTTCTCTCTCTGACCCTCAGAGAACAAAACTCATTTCCTCCTACAGCAGTCCTTCCAGCCTCAGTCTGATCGGAGACCCAAAGTGTTTGCGTGCATGCGTGAGTGTACCACAGGTAAACTGCCTTTTCGTCTGCCACCATTTGTGTCCCTAACTGTCCCTCATTTTTCTAGATGGAGGGGCCTATGAGGGGTTTCAGCGCCTGAACCAAGGAGGTCAGGAAGTCACAGAAGTACTGCAAACTTCCTGTCACGTACTTTTGCTGAGAAATAGGCTGTCACGATGGCTGCAGATGCTTTGATCACAGTTGAATTTGGTACATTAGTTTTCATTGAGCTGGTTGGATGATTCTTAACACATATTGTTCTCCATTATATTTGAACTTGATTTAAAGCCATCTCTCTGTAAAATGAGTCTTGTAGATAAAAGTAAATCAGTAGAGCTTGAAATAGTTTTGAGTGCTCAGACCATTGACAGTTTTTGTCTCTGGTGTCGTGCTGAGGATGCTGTCCTATGCAGTGCGACAAAGTGCTCTTATCGAGCAGCACGTCTTCCCATGAATTGATCAGTGGTGCCCTGAGGGAAGGATGAATAGGATTTTAGATATTTGTGTGACCATTTTCTTCCAGCCTGTTTAACACAATGGTGTATTAACATTATGAATCGCAGTGGGCGGAAGAGTGAGAAAGAAAGAAAGAAAGTGAGAAAAGAAAAAGGCAAACAAAATCAAAGACACAGGCAGGCAGAGGCAGAAAAAAATAGATTCAGAAGTAAACAATCAATGATCATTAATCAGCAGTCTCACACCCTGTCGATAGATTTCTTTTTTCTTGTGTTCCCTCTTTCTCTTGTTCTCATTAACACCTTCAGTTTTCCCTTGAGCCTCTCGACTTTGTTTTTCTATCCTAATCTTCCTCTGTTACATTCCACTGCACCCATCTGTCAAATATCCTTCTGTATGGTTTTATTTTTTATTGTTTACTGTTTCTCATTTTCTTTTTTAAGGACAGAAAATTTTACAACCATAACATTATGACCACTGATAGGTAAAGTGAATAACATTAATTATCTAGTTACAGTATCACCTGTCAGTGTGTGGGTTATATTAGGCAGCAAGTGAACATTCAGTCCACAAAGTTGATGTGTTGGAAGCAGGAAAAATAGACGAGCATGAGGATCTGAGTGACAAAGGCCAAACTGTGATCAGCTGATGACTGGGTCAGATCATCTCCCATACTGCAGGTCTTGTTGGGTGTTCCTGGTCTGCAGGGGTCAGTACCTACCTACAGTGTCTGAGGACAAACAGTGAACCAGTGACAGGGTCATGTGTATAGTTTCTATTTATAGTATCTCTGTCATGCACATGCACAGTATGTTTTGTGTCTGTCATGCTCTCTTGAGGTTCTTTCTTACCCTTTTTCGTATAAAAAAATATATACAGTATATATATTTATTTTTTATATTCACTATTTTGTTTTTCTCACTTTGTCTCTCACCTTTCACTTTCTTTCTTCAGCTTGTCACCTGTTCAGCAAGCTTCCCAGCAGGTCACACCTGCAGCTCCTCAAAGTCCATACTAACATATAACATTATAAGCATACACCTAAACACACTCAGGTCCACACTTCAGTTATAATCATGTAAGTAAAATATTTCTAGAAGGTTCTCCTTCATTCTGAGGTGCAGAGGTTTTGGACCCAATCTGTGACCTTCACCATGTTCCTCTTCTCACAATCTCAGTCGGCTTTACTCCCACTACATTATACTTGATGATGATGAAATAGCAGAGAAATAAAATAAATAAAAACAAAAACAAATATGTCTTTTATCAACAAATTTCTAATTTCCTCTTCAGGAAGTAATATGTTTAGTCAGCTCTCCACTACAATCACAGGAAATGATATCTGCTCTGTTCCTTGTCTCACACACGTAGCCTAAAAAGCATGATTTTATCATTTCCAATCTAGCACAATGACTCCCACACATGCCAGAACAACACAAATAAAAACAATGCTTTATCATCTGAATCTCACAAATTTTATAATTGAAACATTCTGGTGCTTGTTTACATGTAATAAATGACTGATCACGGTCTCTGCTTTGTTTGTTGTCCTTGGAAAATCTATTATAAACGGACATATTTAAACACTTTGCAATATAATGATTTCCATTTTGGAGGACTATTTGTTGAATAATTTTTGTTGGATTACTGATTTTCTTTTTCCCATATAGCTGGATGAAAGCAAGAATCACTTACACAGGACAACATTCATCTGTACCAGCACTGCCAAAGACACACCAAATAGATGTTAACGTATACAACCCCAAATCAGGGAAAGTTGGGACGGTATGTAAAATCAAAATTAAAACTGAAAATAGTTGTAAATCATCTGTGTCCTGTATTGCACTGAAGACAATACAGCAGCACATTATTTTATGTGATAGCTCATCAACTTTATTTTTTGTTCAAAATAAATCTTCTCCACAATATGCAACGGTGTGGCCAATGTTGCCAAAAGAAATAGGACTTTAGAAAAAGTTGTCACAGTATATGTATAAAAGGAGTGTGTGGGTTCTTGTACTTGCTACACAGTGAGGGCCAAAACAATCAGTCCTTCTGTTTTAAATCAAAATAACTGTTCTTAATAGTATCCTGGTTCTGTCTCTCTCCACATGTCTAGGAGCCCAAGGCCGTTGCCATGGTTTCCAGCCCACGCTCAACTGCTGTCTG